GGGTCAGCATGGATAGTGCTTAGTAGCTGTAACTTGCGTCACTCAGGGGAGTGTCTTCTTCACACCCCTGAGCAATGTATGTTAGATTGATTTAAGCACAGCGTAGACCTACCCTTAGATAAGCGTCTATCTTGTCATTTGTGCTAGCAGTTTCTGCTTCTTGTTCATTGATGGTGAAAGCTTATTGCCTATTTTCTTTTACATTAGTCCTAAAGGAAAACTTGCATCCTCAGAAATACTATGAAATTTTATGACCTGTGTTACACAGGAGATTTGATTATATGATCACAGATTTCTTAAAATTATCTTTCTAAAAATGTATGAATCACAAATCCTGAGTTTTCACCATTAGATGTGAGCTTTCCCAAAATTTGGGTTGTAGATCAGTTATGGATTCTTTATGCAGGCTCAAACTTCTTGGGAGGATGTCCAGAATATAGTCAACTATACAATGCTGCACCTGCAAAGAGGAAATCCTTCTTGGCCCTCACACTGAGAATACTTGTATCAGATTCCTGAGGTATTGTACAGTTCCAATGATGATGCAGGTTATATCACTAGAATTACCTTTATTTTAGTGCTTCGGGGGTAGCCGAGTTAGTCTGTTACAAAAAACAACAACAAATGGTCTGGCAGCACTTTATAGAATAACAAAACATGTAGATCGTATCATGAGCTTTCGTGGGCACAGCCCACTTCTTCAGATGACTGGAGTTATGAGTAGGGGATATGAAAACTGGAAATAAATAGGAGAGGGGACGAGAAAGGAAAGAGGAAGGGGGTGGGGGAAAAATTACCTAGACACATTTAAAATTCAGCTACATATCTGTCTCAAAGGTCTGAACTGGCAATGAATGCACAGACTGAATTTAGCTGAAAGGGGAAGGTATTGCCTTTAGTTTGTTCTGTTTTTCCCTACCATCCATTTCACTGAATAAGTGATATTTTTGAAATCTTTGCAGGTAGACAGTCTCTCTTTAAAGCTAAATTCAACTTCTAATTTATTCTGCTGGGAAAAAGAAATGAATTCAAAGTTTCTAGAGAGAGAGTGAAGATCACTTACCATTTCTCTCTTGTCCTCTTGAAAATGGACATCCACAAACATCCTGCCAATGGCATAAGGGAGTGCTCCTTCAACAAAGTTTACGCATTTATCCCACTGAGGCGGTAAGGATGTGGTTCCTTCGATTACCTGTTGGCATTGCACAATAAATGGTCAGAACAAGCCATTAGAGAAAAAACATGAGAATAACTCAGCATCCTCATGGTAGATTCTGAAAAAAAACCCAGACATAACCATATATATATAATAACATGATCAATTTATTATTTATGTTCACATTTTCATAATCTTAAAAAACATTCTACACCAATCTGTGTCCTTAATGTCTAATTCACCATTTAATGAGCAGGACGCAGCATTCTGCCCCATTTTCAAAATCACCCAAAAGACCACGCCTTCGGTCAATCTTCATCTTCCTGAACCAATCCTGCCACTTGGGCTGCAAAGGTTTGGGATAGGAACAACTGCAGGGAGAAGGTCATCAGTATAAATGCTTGCCTGGACATTTCTGGGAGGTCTCTAATATCAGTGTGAGCAAGAGAGCTCAAGCTTGAGTGGAGGTTATCAGCGATTGTGAGAATGACAGAGAGCATCAGTAGAATAGTTGCTGAAACAATAAACAAAGCAATTTCTCAGCAGTGTTGGCCTACAACCTATCAAAATGACATTCCACTTTTCTTTCATGTTGTGATTTTTCCCCTCCCCTTCCTGTGCAAAATGAAAGCCATTTTCATGTTAAATCTCTTGATGCCAAGATTCGCATTAATCAAGTCTGAAGCCAATTGCCAGGTGGGATGGGGCATGCTAGAAACTCAAGGGCCTGTCTTTACTGACCTTAGCACACTGCATGGAATTCACACACACAGGCAGCCCTCGCATGGCCTATGAACTTTGTACATGAGAACTAAATGCTATGTTGGAAAACGTACAACCAGCTCAACTGATATATTTTCTTTGATTTCTCAAGTGAACACATAAATAGAAGGAACTTTTTGGTATGTCAAAAAGTGTAACCACCAAACCTGATGGATTTCATTTGGGGTCTTAATATCTAGCCAGACTAGTTATAGGTCAGCACTCTGTTTTACTCTGTTTTACTGAGAAATACCTCATAAAAAGATATACTAAACAACATGTAGCTGAGATCTGACAGCCAGTTGCTCACATTTTTTCATAAGAAAATGCTTCTCTAACTACATCTGTTTGAATGGCGCTCTTTTGGCCAGGTCTAAGAATGTTCACATATTACTTATCAAATGGGAAAGACTCTTAGGTCACTCCATGCACCAATGTAAGATGTGTAGTAGAGCAGTCAAACAAAAAAACATGGTGCTAATTCTGATTTGAGTTGAACTAATAAAGATACACTGTAGGAATCTGGGGAAAGGTGGGGGGAATTTTATGGGCTGTGCTATACAAAAGGTCAGACTAGATGATCAAAATTGTAACTTCTTGCCTTAGACTACATTACCCCCCTAGTTCGAACTAGGGGGGAAATGTATGCATACCGAACTTGCTAATGAAGCCCGGGATTTGAATTTCCCGGGCTTCATTAGCATAAAGCCGGCGCCGCCATTTTTAAAAGCCAGCTAGTGCGAACCCCGTGCCGCGCGGCTACACGCGGCACGGACTAGATAGTTCGGATTAGGCAAGTTCGGTATGCATACATTACCCCCCTAATTCGAACTAGGGGGGTAGTGTAGATATACCCTAAGACTAAAAAAACCAGGGTTTTTATCTTCTAATTGATCAAATACAAAATACTTTAAAAAATATTTGTTTCAAATTGACCAACAGTTCTGAGCTACTGTAAAACAGCATATTTTAGATTCTTCAGTTCTTTTTAGATAGATCAAAATGTTTTTGATTGACTCAAAACAAATTTTTCTTTTGAAGTTTTCATTAGATTGGACCATTTCAGGTGTTAGCCACCCTTTGTCTATTAAAAAATGGGCCAAATTTGAAATCAAAGTGACATTTCCAACCAAAAAGTCAAAACAAAATATTTTGAATGTCTTCTAAATGAACTGTTTCAATTCTATAAAAAAAGACAGCTGAAACCATTCATGAAATTTAACCCAGCAATAAGCATATAGTTTTGTTAATGCCACCAAAATGCATTTTTATTAAAAACAACTTTTAAAATACAGCCAAACAAGTCTAATATATTAAAGTGCCCATCTCATTGCTCGAAACACCCATATCATGATGAAAAGAGAGACATCCCTAGAGCAGAGGAGTAGGCAGCCCTTGACTGATCTTCCCAAAGCAGCACAGGATGGGAAGCAATTTGCTATTTGTATAACTTGACAAGTACATAACTTCCCATTGGAGCAAGAGAGAACCAAGGACTAAGTTGTGACTGAGAGCCACAATCTGTTCCCTCATTTGTTCATAGGGCAGTGAAGTAGATTAACAACTCACTGTCTAGACCAACAATTATAACTGTAGTTGAATGCTTGATTTTGGAATTCTAATACTATTTTTGTAATGTAGTTTTAATTTAACTATTTGATCTATTTAAAACTGATTCACTTTTGTTTTATGCAAATGGAAATATTAGTCAATAATTTATTCATCAAGGGGGTTTGCTGATGTGGGTAGATCTGATCAAATTACTGTTCTGTATAAATCAGGCAACAAAACCAGATCAGGATACACTACTTTTTATGTAGTCACTTGCTTTAACGCAAGTGATGTGCATTCTATTTGTTATGTTCTATTTTAGGGGGAAGTCTCTGTACAGTGGGACTCCACTGAATTCAGAGAGGGGGTCTTTCCATTGACTTACTAGGCTTTGGGTCAAGAACCATGTGACTATAATAATACAGTGCATATCATCCTCTTAATTTTTATGTAATTTCTAATTGCTCACAAATAAATAGATGAATTTACTTTGTTCTACTTCTGAGGAATGTCTGGGTACTGAATTTTTAGTAGACCCCAAATGCTCACAGAACAAAGGAAGATATAGGGGAAATTATACATATCAGTTACTTGATTTTTTTCCCTCTTTACTTAATTACCGAAGTCCTTCTGCTCACAAACAGGGAGGAACTAATAGGGGAAGCAGAGGTGGGTGACAACCTGGGAAGCAGTGATCATGAGATGGTAGATTTCAGGATCCTGACCAAAGGAAGAAAAGAGAGTAGTAAAATACACACCTTGGACTTCAGAAAAGTAGATTTTGACTCCCTCAGACACCTGATGGGCAGAATCCCCTGGGATGCTAACATGAAGGGGAAAGGAGTCCAGGACAGCTGGCAGTATTTTAAAGAAGCCTTATTGAAGGCACAGAAAGAAACCACCCCGATGTGAAGCAAGAGAGGCAAACATGGTAGGAGACCGGATTGCCTTACAGGGGAAATCTCTGGTGAACTTAAGCACAAAAAGGAAGCTTACACAAAGTGGAAACTTGGACAAATGAATTATAAAAATGGGAGGAAAACACCTTACTTCACTCCTTCTCCAATGTCTCTGCTCGTGACATCACTGAATACTGAAGGAAACTGAACTAAAAGGAAAGTGCTCCACACTGAAAGAAGACTCATCCTGCAAAATTTTGCTGCAGCATATGGTGAGGAAAACCTATACAGCCAGTCCCCGGGTTACATGGATCCAACTTACATCGGATCCCTACTTACAAACGGGGTGAGGCAACCCTGCACTAGCTGCTTCCCCCTAGCAGACCAGGGAGACGCAGAGTGGCTTTTCTCAGCAGACACCTCAGCTTGAGAATAAAGGACTGAGGGAAGTGAGGTGTGGGAGAATAAAACTGAGCTCTGGAGAAATGTTTGGCTAGAGTTTCCCCTACGATATGTACCAGTTCCGACTTACATACAAATTCAACTTAAGAACAAACCTACAGTCCCTATCTTGTATGTAACCCGAGGACTGCCTGTATATGTGTATGAATTCTGTTCGTTTATTAAGTTCGCTATTAGCTTGAATTTTACTTTTTTGTAACCAATCCGGGTTTTATGCATCATTACTTGGTAACCACTTAAAAGCTATCTTTCTATAGTTAATACTCTCATTTCATTGTTTTATCTTAACATGTGTGTTTGTTACATTTGTGGGGATCTTCATTTGAGTTAACAAGGATGGAGACATATCACTATCCTTTGATGAAAATGATGGACTTTCTATGAGTTTGTCCTGTTCAGAAGGGTACTGGGCAGTGCAAGATATACATTTCTGGGAGGAAGGAAAAAGGCTGAGATTAGCAATTTGTGAGTGTCGACCTATATGTAATTCATGTATGACTAATCAGAATGCTCATGTATTTAGCTGAGAGTGAATCAGCACGCTGAAGTCTGTGTGAGCAAGCCAGTGGTGGATGTTCTGAGAACAAAGCCATTTAAAAGGCAATTGAAGCTAAGCAGTTAAGGGTATACCACTTTTCAACAGTCCAGATTGTACACCGGGGAATGTCACAGTCTTGCCTATACTAAAAACTGAAAACTCTTAAACTTACCCGAGAAAATTCTAGCCACCTGTACTGAAAGCGTCGGCTGAGGTTAAATAATCTTGAATAAACCATCCTCCATACTAGATAGTTGGCAATAGTCCTGTTAAATCACACATACATATATATCAAACATTTAATTCCATTTAATGTACAGTAAAGCACTCATGGAAGCAATATCTGAATGGCTTTCTGTAAGTGCAGTTTGAACTGAATGATAAAAATTTCACCTTTAAAATTAATGATGAGGTATGACCAAATAGATAAAATCCTATTACAGAGAAGGAATTGGATGAAGAAGGCCATTTACTGCCTGATTTCATGATAAAACCTTCTTCCGGATAATGCTTATAACATATTCATATCCTGATATATACATGTCATAGTAGTGCTCTTTTTATAATGTAATTTTGATGTATGTACTTTTTACATTAATAGTAAGAGCTATGTGATGACAAGTAATTATATAGCTGCTCTGTACAGAAACTACACAGTATTTGGCAATTTTTTACTTGAAAATGAAAGCGCAGGTTCTCTCTCTTTACTAGTAAAACCTACAAATAATTATCACAAATATATAGGATTAACTAGGGTGAACAGACATCATAATATTTGGGTCTTTGTCTTGTATAATAAAGTATACCTTTCCCTTTCCCTAAAAAAAGTCCCAATTTTTCACACTTGCTCGAGGGCCACCCTTGTATTAGCACCTACAAATATCAATGGGGACTTATTATCTGAAAATACCAATGTGCTTTACAAGCATTTCTTCATTAGCACTTTGAGAATTACTGTAGGTAAATATTACTATCCCCACTCTGCAGATGGATAAACTGAAACAGAGAGGTTAAGCTCCCAGATACTAGGAGGATAGAAGAGACTTGTCCAAGTGTCCCAGGAAGTCTAACTGTTCCCCTTTTCTACACAACCTTCAAATCCACTGTGCATGGTTAGTGTGATGGGGAACTTGCACCTGCTGTATGAGACGTGCACTATAAAATCAAAATGAGGAATTTAGAGTTCACCCTTTCAGAATACTAAAGTATGCTACAATAATGGCCTAAATTCACACACCTTGCGTGATGTTTATCCCAGATTATGGGTTAGGAAGTTCCATTGATTTTACTGTCTTTTGGATCAAGTCAGAGATATGGAGGTAGGACTCAGTTTGTATAAGTACACTAAGATTATCCAAATCTTATTTGAAATTGGACCTGCAAAATTGGGCTAGACACCTTCCAAGATAAGATCTCTAGTACTTCCTTTTTCTACTAGCATTTGAGTCCCCTTCTATACAGAAGCATAAAACAATGGGAAAAAAATATTTCATTTCAAACTCTGAGGATTTGTTTTCCTGTTTCAAGGGCATGGGTTCATATTTTATCTAAACCTCTTTATCAGTTTTTGGCTTCTATTCTGTGTCTCTCTGGCCAAGTACACAAAGTGCAAAAAGAATAGAAATAGAAGGGCTAATTTCATCACATTTGTTTAAAACAATAGCATGTTTCACTTAATATAATGCCATTCACCTAAGTCTCTAAAAATGTTTTACAAATTACATAATCTGCACAATGCCAGTGTGAAGAAGGCAATTGTTATCCCAAATTTACCAATGATGAAACTGCAACACAGAGGTGAGCTATTAGCCCTACTTCCCATCCCGATACATCACAAAGAATAGAACACACAAGTCCCAGATCCAAAGTCCTTTTTATTGTATCCTTTGGGAAGATTATATTTTGACTAACAAATGATTGCTACACATGGAACGATTATAATGATTATTTCCTTAAAAAAGAGGCCTGTTAGTTTGTGGTGGTATCTCCCAAGGGAACAGGTAGAAATCTTGTGATTTGGGGCATTTACAACTAGATCAAGCATTTGGATAATCCGGTAATGAATAATAATGGTCTGTTGATGAGCTACATAAAATGCTACAATTTTATGACATTATGCTAGCATTTCTATCAATATTTTTTGTAGGCAATGTAATGTAAGATATCATTTTAGGTTTAATACAAGCATAACAAATAGATCCATATTTTCCAACTAGTGGACTTTGTTGAGGTGCATAAATTGTGCATTTTTGCATTCCTATTTGAATTGTGTAACCAAATTCTGAGTACTCCTAAACCTCTCTTTACCATATCCATAACTAATTTTTCAGGAGCATCCTAACATGCAAAGAGGAAAGCTAGCCTTCAGGTTGTCTAAAAGTCTATTTCATTATGTTCTAGGGAGGAGCAAGTGTTAGTTATTTATCTTTTGCAGAGCAGTATGATAAGCAACAGGAAAGTAGTTCTTCACTGTGAGCTCTGATCATTGTTTACTGTAACAATTACAAGGATTTGTATTTGGGACACACATCCCTGTATTGCTCTCATGTTATACATGGACCTGTTCAACTCTCAAAGAACACAAAATCTCTTTAACAAAAGTTAAATGTGCATTGAGGAAAGAACAGATTCCTTTTATAACAGACACGAGTTAATATCTAAGGGCACATCTACACAGCAGGGCAAAAGTCCAATTAAGCTAGGCAACCTGAGCTATGTCAATTGCATAGCTGAAGTTGAAATAGCTTATTTCGGCTTTTGGCGCTGTCTACACAGCAGGAAGTCAAAGGAAGAACACCCTTCCTTCAACTTCCCTTACTCCTTGTGAAATGAGGGTTACAGGAGTCAGAGTAAAAACTCCTCCAGATCAACATTATTTCAAAGTACTGGCTTGCAGTATAGATGCGGTCTTTGTTATATCGGAATAATGTCAGTTATTCCTAAATAACATTGCTGTATAGGTGTACTGTAAGATTCCTAGGACATGCTATACAATATCTTGATTAAATTTACTGGAGTTACTGTCAACTGATTAGAGCTGAGGGAATAACTGCCTGTTTAAAGGATTCCTGCAGTGAATTTAGTTCCTAGTCTGATTTGTGTGCTGTCTCCAATCAGATTGCAATTTTAATGGATTTGTTCACTGAAAAGGCTGCAGTGAGTGCTCTGAGAAAACAATTTCAATATGTGGATTGCTCACAAACAATTCTCTGTGAATACTCCTTTGAATAATCTATATCTGGGGTTCAATAGTCAACTTGAGTGATTTGTCCCTTAATTTGCATGATACTGTTTCTGTTCTCAGAATGGATGACCTAACCTTTAAGCTGCTTCTTCCTCTGTCTGAAACCAATTTCATTCATTTAGACTGTAAGACTCTTTGGAGAGGAAGCAGTCTTTTTTCTTCTTCTTCTGCATTTTCTATCATAGACCTGACCTATGACTGGTGTTCAAATGGCTACCACAATAATACTACCAATAATTTTGTTACTGAAAAGAATCCTGTTTAGATGCCATATGAATATCCACAAATATTTTTCTTACTGTTCATCTGGCTCCACTAATGATATTAAATTCCCTGAAATGATTCAGATATTAATGTATGTTATAATCACTTGAAATATGACTGGGACTTCAGAAGGAATTCAGTAGAATTTGATCTACAGAAATATTTACTGTGACAATGTGAAATTAAGTCCATATTGCTTGCATCCATTTTGTTGTTTAAATTTCATTCTGAAATTCACATGCTATACAAAACGTGATATTTAAGCATTTATCCATATACTTATTCACCAGTTAGGCAGATTTTAAGGCTCTGAGCATTACTCTACAGCTGAGACTAGACTGGTATGATTTTCCGCAAATGCTTTTAACGGAAAAAAGCGTCTAGATTGGCACAGACGTTTTTCCGCAAAAGCACTTTTTGCAGAAAAGCGTCTGTGCCAATCTTGACGTGCTTTTCTGCAAAAAAGCCCCAGTAGCCATTTTTGCGATCAGGGCTTTTTTGCGGAAAACAAATCTGAGCTGTCTACACTGGCCCTTTTGCACAAAAGCTTTGCGCAAAAGGGACTTTTGCCTGAACGGGAGCAGAATAGTATTTCCGCAAGAAGCACTGATTTATTACAGTAGGAAGTCAGTGCTTTTGCAGAAATTCAAGCAGCCAGTGTAGACAGCTGACAGGTTTTTCTGGAAAAGCGGCTGATTTTCCAGAAAAACTGGCCAGTCTAGACACAGCCTACATGTATGGGGATGCTGGGAGAGGAGAAGTTCTCTTTCCTGTTACTTTTTTTTTCCAAACTAGATCATAAAGTGACTTTCGGAACCAATTTTGACATCCTAAAGAGTCCTAAAAACATTTTTTTGTTACTATACCATGGATCTTTTAATGGATTTTACATATTAACGTATTTGTCTCTGATAAACATGTGAGTAACAAGGGCCCAATTCTATGCAGGGATATACATGTTCACCATTAAAGTAATGGAGTAAGTCTATTTATATTTAATTCAGCATGCTATAGTTCACCATTTCTAACAACTTATGAATCAATTTTCTTAGGACCAGATCACACAAAGAAGGTATAGACTATATTGAGGACTCTCACAAATTGCTGCCCTTCTTACTGGATGTGTAACCTACATACCTAGTATAGTTCACTGTCCAACGTAGTGACACTTACACCACTTACAGCCAGAGATGAGAACAAGGGAGTTCTACAGCCTAAGCTGAGAGGCAGCTGGAATTTAGCTCAAATGGTAGAGGCTCCTACACTAAGCTCCAGAGGGGTCCCAGGTTCAAAATCCGAAGGTGGCTGTTACAGAAGCACTTCAGTGCTCTGGGTGTGGGGAAATGGAGTCATGGCTTTGACTACTCCTGTACTTCCTGCTTTTGATAGGGAACCACATGCCCAAAGACAATAGTTAGGGAGGAGTTCTTGTACTCTGCTGACCACTGTGCCAGCACCTGAGCCCAGCCCAGAGGCCAGCTTCACAGGAGAAGGGAGGTTCTTTATTCCTGCCCTCTGCTGTGCCCCTGCATCAAAGCTAGGCAGAATCTAGTTCTTAGTTAAGATGTAGGACCCAATCCTCTCAGCAGCTTATAGGATGGGACTCCGAAGGAAATAAAATGAGCCTCTGCTTCATAGCAATATAATACAATAGATAACATAAAGGGACCAGTTCCCTATTGCCTTGCTACATGTGCAGTGGGTGTAAAATGCTACAAAATAAGCATTTTATATCCACTTTGAACTTGTGAAACTAACTTTCCACGGCATGGGACAACCAAAAATAGGAGCCACACAAATGTGCATTATTCAGTCCTTTCAAGGAAATGTTCTGTGGTAGGGTCTGTTTAAATTATTTAAAGTAAGTTATAACAACTGACTGTTTAGAGATAGAACACATTTTATTTTTAGTATTGCCTGATCTGCCTGATATTTTATGCATATTATGAATGTATGTTGTTATCATTAAGAGAAGAAATATAATGCAATAATATCAGAATAAAGTTTCTGTACTGTTCTATTTTTTTTAATAGTTATAAAGCTTACTTTAGTTTGATTTGCTGTGACTAAGCAATATTATTGCCTGGTTAGCAATAAACTATTTTTGGAAAACAACATGAACTAAAATGAAAAAGGGGGATGGTGAGAGACAGTCATTATACAATTAGCTCAATGGAGCAATAACTTGTTAGACTGTTTCCGTAGGAAAGGAATATTGTAAAGTCAGACAGTCTCAGTATATACATTTTTCTCTGTACTGTACTAAGGGACTGTTATTCCATTGGCTGGCAGCTAAAGCAAGACATAGACATATTCAGACTGCAAATTAAGTATACATTTTTAACAGTGAAGGTAATTAACCATTTGAACAATTTACCAAGGATTATGGTAGATTTTCTATCACTGGCTTTTTCAAGTGCAAGACTGAGTGCTTTAAAAAAAATTAGGAATTAGGGAAATTCTGTGGCTTGTATGCCATGCAAGAGCTCAGACTAGATAACCACAACAGTCCCTTCTGGCTGTCGATTTTACAAAACACAAAACTAATCCTTACTTTTTCCTTTCATTTCCTAGTATCCTGAACAAGTCTTTGAAGTACTGGGGCACACGGACAATCACGTTTTCTGAAGGACCTATATCTTTAAGTTGAGGGTAGAGTTTGGTGTCAATCACCCTCTTGATGTATCCCAGCCAATCAAACTGAAAGAACAAAGAAAAGATCAGTTAACACAATTTACAAGCAGAGAAGGTCAGACCTAGTTAATTGGCAGGGTTCCGTAAATGACACAAAGGTTTTTACTCATTTCAATGTTTGAAAATATTTTATTTCATCGTGGCACATAATTTGGAACCTATCGATACATCTGAATTTACAACAACAAATGGAACAGAGAATCCCTGTTTCTACTAAGTTAATTTAGAATGCTGTGCTATACACATTTAAAGCACTTTTAGTTGCAAATGGTTTGTTACAAACCTGACATTAAAGTGATTTTCCAATTAACTTCCACCAACCTGAGGGATCATGGTGCTAAGTGCAGATATGTTCATTTTATTGTACATAGTTTCACTGCTTCGATTCTCGTGTGGAATCATTATCTAGAGAATATAAATGAAAATAATTATATGTTTAAAACACTCTTCTCTTACTTTGTTAATACCCCTCATATTATGTATAAGAACTACTACTATCCAGTGGAAAATAAAATAAGTTCAGAGCAACAGATTGCCTCCTGATCCTCAAAGAAAAGTCAAAACTAAAACAATGCAGATACCTGTGGCACCTTAAAGACTAACAAATGTATTTGGGTATAAGCTTTCATTGACTGAAATCCACTTTATCAGATGAATGAAAGGAAAGTCAGCTATCCTAAACCGGAAAATTAACCAGCGTTATTTTAAACCAAAAAGTTATCTTGTATTGTTTCCTTTAAACATTGGGCCAAATTTTGCTCCAATTAACCCACATTAAATTACTAATCATCCCATTACATTTTTCATCATAAACGAGAGCCAAATTTAGCCCATTAGTGCGCCTTCACTCCATCACTCCAACTAGAAGCCCATTTCACCTCCACAAAAGCAACTGGTCAAAAAGAAACACTACTGAGAAAAATAGGCCTATTGATAAATTATCAGGAAGATCCAGATTCCAAGATTTCAGTTTGTTCATAATAAAAAAATAATTGAAGCACAAAATTCAGATCCAGTTCAAAATGTCCTCAAAGTTCAAGGGTGCTAGGATTCTACATGCAGGTTCCAGCCTAATTCTAAGATAAGTTCTATACAATGGACTCAGTTGAAACTAAACTGGACACAGGAGGCAAGAGTCCAGACTAGCCAAACCAATGGCAGTTTTCCACCCCAAAGTCCCAAGCCAAGTTTCTTTGGTTTTTGCTTAAGCAACACAGAAAATATGACTTTCCTTGGATATTTTAAATCTCTTCTCCCACTCCCTCTCATACACTTGACCTTTTTCTCTTCCCCCACTCCTGTCAGGCTTTAGTCCTTAAATTCTTCCCACTTTTTCCTGTTTAAACTTTCATTTTTCTCCATATCTACAGGTGCCATGACCCCCCACATGACAATTCTTTAAACTTATCTTGCATGCTCTACTTTCTTTCCCCCACAACATTCTCCTACGTCTCTGTATTCAGTCACCCACATGCACATGAAATCTTAGCATCTCTCCTCCATGCAAGCCCTGCCTCAAACATTCTCTCAAACTCTCCCTAAAACATTCCATCTTCTCTCTGATCACAGGATCTGTACTCTGAAATATTTTTCTTCCATTTCTGTGGCTTCCCTCCCCATATACATCCTCCCCAGGAAAGTTCATTTAAAATGAATATAAGGTGCACAGCATATATTTAAAACCCAAAAGATAACAAGAGTTAATTATTAGTTTGCATTAACATAGAGATATTTATAGAACCGATTGCATTCATTAACAATCAAAGCCATTGGTTTCAGATCTTTATTCCTGTCTGCATTTTAGGGTATATTTTTCTTGAACAGCAATAATTATCTCTCAGTACAGTTTGTTGCATATTAAAATTATTATTATTGACCCTGAAGGCTTTCATCTGTATGGCAGCTTTCCATGTGCATTAAATTCATGAAATAAAAGTCTGCAGGGCTTTATTGAAGGAATTCCTGGAACCACATGTGGTGGCAATGTCTGGGAATAGTGCACCCATTTGCAGTGTCACTAAACAGCTGAAAAGACATTTATTGCCTTTCCAATCTAATGAGACACAGCTCAGAATATGCTCATTACAATGAAGCAAGCTTTTTTAAGGCATTGTCATGAATAAAATAATTAAAGTTGAATGCTTGATTTGATATATTGTTGCCCAAAATTCTGCAAAAAAAAATCTTTTAAGGCCAAACCCTACTTTCTGCTTTGGGAAAAACAGCAATAGAAATCAGCACATCAGAACTAATGGGGTATGTATATGGAAGAGCAGAGGGGCTGGTGTTATGGCAAGCTACCCTAATTAGCGTCTCTGGTATTCTCCATAGGTTTCAGGTTCCACATGTTAAAAGATAGTGGAATGGATGAATGGTATTGCCCAGAAGTCATGAATTCTATGTACATTAATGCTGATGGGGAAGTACTAATTTATAACAGGATAAACTTAAAAAACAACAAATGGTCTGGTAGCACTTTATAGAGTAACAAAACTTGCAGATGGTATCATGAGCACCGCCCACTTCCTGCTCGCACTGAGTTCACAGAAATGCTAGGAGTATGGGCAACCTCTGGGAGCACAGTCCCTGCAGTGACCATGCTGACATGTAAGTTGGAGAGGGAAAGAACCATAGGACCAGAGGTGGATGAGAGTGCCACGGGGCCCAGGGCAGTGCCGTGGGGCCCCGGACAGTGAAATTTTGCAGGGCCCCCTCTTTGGCTGTGTCCAGACTCAGGGGTTTTTTCGGGAAAAGTAGCCTTTTTCCGAAAAAACTTCACCTGCGTCTAGACTGCAGCCGCGTTCTTTCGAAATTAAATCGAAAGAACGCGGCTTTTCTTTCGACGGCGGTAAACCTCATTTCACGAGGAAGAACGCCTTCTTTCGAAAGTGCTTCTTTCGAAAGAAGGCGTTCTTGAATGTAAATAGGGCTTCTTCGAAAGAGAGCATCCAGACTCACTGGGTGCTTTCTTTCGAAAAAGCGGCTTGCTCTTTCGAAAGTTCTGCATGCAGTCTAGACGCTCTCTTTCAAAAGAGGCTCTTTTGAAAGTATCTTTCGAAAGAGCCTCTTTCGAAAGAGGCTTGCAGTCTAGACATAGCCTTTGACACGGTGCATGCGCGGGGCCTCGGGAAGCGTGGGGCCCAGGGCAGCCACCCCACTCACCCTGCCCTAAATCTGCCGCTGCATAGGACCACCATACATGTAACATTTGTTTCCAACCAATTCCTGAGACCTAGGAGCTCTGTGGGTAAAAGCAAGTATAAATTCCATAGGAGCAAGAAGGGATACATTTTCCTACCCCAGCCTCCATTTTTCATGTAGAAACAAATGGAGTATAGCTTGAATAAACCCAGCATTCTGTAATTGATCAAAAAAGGATCCCCACAACTCACGTGATCATAACGTTCTAAAAGACAACAAAACATTTGAAGAGAAAAGCTACATGTGAAACTGCTTGTAATAATATATATGTGACACCATCACAGGACCTAACCATGTAAGCCATAACATCAGGGGTTCATACAACTAACTGCACATCCTCTAACGTGATATATGCCATCAAGTGCCACTGTTACCTTGGGCTTGACTAGAGACACTAACTGGTTAACGCACTATAAAGCCAGTTTCCCCAGTTCCCCTGGCCTTTCACATTCACAATTCCACATCAAAAGCTATGTATGGAATACATGCAGCCAATTTAAATAGCTTCCTTAACATGGATCCTACAATTGACAGACAAATGCTTTTTCCTGTTATATTTATCTTGGATTCTGTTTTTTCCACTTCAACTCCTCTGATGAAGTGGGTTTCACCCATGAAAGCTCATGATTCTATATATATTGTTGTTAGGGTACATCTACACAGTAGGTATGGTAGTGACTAAATGATTAGTCAACTAACTGAAAAGCAAGAGCTTAGCAATTAGCACTATTGATTAGTCGCATTTCCCTCCTCACACACATACACCCAGTTGCTGCTCTGCATTATACAGCTGAGAGAAGCCAGCACACGAAGGTGCTGAATTGGTCCCTCTCCCACGCATTTCTTTTCATTCATCACCACACACAAACACAGATACCAGCTGCTGTTCTGCATTGCACAAGCTAGGGAAGCTGTGCACGAAGCAGCTGAGTTGATCCCTACTTCACACGTTTCTTTTCATTCAGCCTGGTGTGTCTGTGTATGTGGTGATGAATGAAAAGAAATGCATGGAACAGGGACCAACTCAGCACCTTCGCACGTGGCTTCCCAAGGCTGTGCAATTCAGAGCAGCAGCTGTAGAGTTTATGTTGTGAACCGCAGTAGCCAGACTGAGCACTGGGACTGTCTACTCTTATCGACTAATCGATTAGTCAACAGAAAATCTGTTGACTAATTGATTAGGAAAGTAATAGCATTTTAACAACCCTACTACCCAGCAGTGTTATTTTGGAATAACTGACATTATTCCGAAATAACATAGTCCATGCTACACTATGCAGACATAATGTCTGCAGTTATTTCAATATCACGTCAAAATAATGTGGAGCTGGAGGACTTTACTCCAATACCTATAATTCTCATTTTACAAGCAGTCAGGGAAGTCAGAGGAAGAGTGCTCTAACTCAGACTTCCTGCTGTGTAGACGGCACCAAAAGCTATTTCGACTTTAGCTACACAATTGATGCAGCTCAAGTTGCGTATCTTATTTCTACTTTAGCCCTGCTGTGTAGATGTGCCCTTAGTCTCAAAGGGTACGTTTAACACAGCAGCTTTATTTCCGAATAACTGACATTATTCCAAAATAATGAAGAGTGTGTTTACACTGCAAACCATTATTTCAGAATAACAGTGAGCTGGAGGACTTCTTACTCCAACTCCTGTAACCCTCATTTTATGCAATTGATGTAGCTCAAGTTTCATAGTTTAATTCGACTTTAGCCCTGCTGTGTAAACATGCCCTAAGATAGCACAGAAATACTTGTTTGTAATAACACTTAATGGTATTACTTTGACAATTACTTCAACTTTCCTCAAATGCATTAGTTAGTGGTAATGCATTGTCCCACTGACTACACAAGAGGGACATATCTAACTAAAAACAGCCTACAAAATCCCCCTCAAACTAATAATTATATTACAGATTTAAAGGATGAACTATACTCCCGTTATTTCAGAACAGATTTATGAATTAAGGGTTAACTAATGGAGAAGGTTTGCTTTGGAATTTACTTTTTCATACTTTCACTACTGTTTCAACTCTCAAGAATTAATACTAAATAGTTTAATATAAAATAATTGCACAAAGGAAATACTACAAACATTGTCTTGTTTCAATGCATGCACCAATTTATCAGTTAGTTGCAATTACACATTAGAAAATTACTCACTTCAGCTATTTTAATTTCCAGTTTCAGAACCGACTTCATATCAGACTCTGCACGGGAGGCATTAGCACCCAAAAGCACTGCAATATCCACCATGAACTGCAAAAAGGCATCTCTGTACTGGAGAGAAAGGAGAATGAAATGACCATTGCAGTCACATCTTAGCATGGCTACAGGAGTGGCATGTGGGAGCACAGTTACACCAATAAGAAAAGTACTCTACATTTTAAGTCACTCTTTGAAGTGGAAAATAAGCATTTTGTTGAGATAGGATGAAATCAAACCAAAGGGAACCAAACCAGGGAAATAATTCCATAGCAGGCATTGTGCTTACAGGATCTCTCTTGCGGTTCATTGAATGTAGCTTTCAGAACATACCAAATGTCATGTGTGTATTGGATTGAGACACACCCACACATTACTTGTTTGAGCTCAGAGAATTCACACACTGCAAGAAAGGCTAAAAATCTACAGCATGCTAGTATGCCATGCACTAACAGCTATGTAGACTAAAAGTTCACTAGGGTTTCAAACAGTGGGCAATAGCAAGGTCCACATGGCCAGTTAAAGGAAAGCTAGTGTACTTTAGCTTCGTACCACAGCTGGCCGTGCAACTCACTCCCTTCCTCCCATCTTATTCTGGCTTTTTGGAGGCCCTGGATTCTCTAATATCTTGGAGAACATCTGGTAGAATCCTATTGGCTAGCATTCAAGATAGGAATACAATTATACTCTAGTTAACTACAGACTTCTGCTAGATATAGTTCATTGTACACTACTAGAAGCTGGCTAGAAGTGACACTGAAAAACTCAGTAGCTCACCTGAGAGATGGAGGGGGCAGGAAAAGGGTCAGAACTTGGATGAAGGCAGTGCTCTGTAAAGACTGTGGGGATATATTTGTTGAGTCCAGAACTACAAATGCTGCATCGTATTTTTCCATCACACTTTGGGGGAAAAGTGTGGCAGGTGCTAAATACTGGCATAATCATTGAACACTTTTGGAACATGCAATCCATACTCAACAGTGAGCATGACGAGATTTGGAAAGGGCCATGGGAAGAAAAAAAATACTAAAGACCTTGGAACCTGTTGAGAGCTTCTTCCTTCTAAACTAAAATAAATCTAAATATATTTGATAATAATGATCTAACATACCAGAACTTAATACAGCATTGGTGCTTACAGAAATTAGACCATTTTACATGGTTAAATTGAACCAATCCAAAAGTTTAGAGTTGGTTTAGGGGAAATGCAGAGCTCAATTCTTATTATCATAATTTTTCTAAAGTGAAAAATACACTAGATGAGAACAAGAGATGTGCAATACATTGTAAGTATAAACTAGAATAAATAGCAATCCACAGAGCCCAATCTTATTTCAACTAAAAAGAAAAAATTCCTAGTGGGATAATGATTTATCAAACTGCAAGCTACTAATACTTACAGACTTAGCTTCTGTGGTATTATCAAGGTAGTCTTCCCGTGCAGAGAGACACAGAGTTGCTTGGTCTAGCTGTTAAAATAAACAAGAAAATTATATAATACTCCTTACATAGTCTTTATTACACTCACACATATTAACTGTCACCAACAGAAGTGATATTTTTCTAATCATTAGAATAGTGATATATTGGCTTGTGTATCTGATCACCAATTTGGAGCAAACAATTAACTCATCAGACACAATTCATTCTCCAGCTCTTTTGAACTGTGCTTATTCTTTAACACAAAAAAGGTAACTGGATCATGTTCTTCCGCTAAGATTGTGGGATTCTCTGGCCTCCAAGATCTTAAGGCACTGGACTTTAGAACCAGCATAAGGGACTCCACAGGATTTTCCTGCTCTCTTACAGCCATCTAATCCAGCCAGAGTGTGCATTTCGAAATAACGGGAGGCTTGTGTAAATGAGGGGTAGCTATTTTGGGATACCTCCAGTATCCCAAAATAGCCGTGCAGTGTAGACGTACCCTAAATGTCATCTAGCAGGGACAGATGATTCCCAGCACTGATTTGCAGGGCTCCTCTCCAGAAGAGGACAAGTTACTCCCTAGTTCCTCTGACCTTTAAAGGGGCACACCACCCAGTTACGCAGTCCTATAATACTAATACTAAATATAATAAATTATGCAACACCGTGATAAATCCCATTGGAACAATCCCAGGCAGAAAACTTTAAGGCACATTGCATGGCATTAACCACATCTGGACTGACCTCATACTCAATTTAGAAGCTCCAAGATGTTAACCAGAGGTGGGCAATAATTTTTGCAGGGGGGTGTCACTTAATGAATTTTGGTACTGGTCAGGGGCCAACTCCACCCCCCAAAAGGGATGGGGCTTGGAGAAAAGGGATGGGGCCAGAGGCTTAGAAGTAAAAACCCAGCAAAGAGCTCCCAGCTCCCGGCCCTACTGCTATTGAGTTGTCTGGGAGCCACCCAGGGTTGCTATGGCTATTTAAAGGGCCCCAGTCACTGCACTACCCCAGCAGGGGCCAGATCCATGAGCCTTTTAAATAACAGTAATTTAAAGGGCCTGTATCTCCTAGCCCCATCACTACTGTGTTGCCAGGCAGTTTCCTGGGGTTGCTGCAGCTATTTAAGAGGCTCGTAGCTGAAGCCCCTGCTGGGGTAGCGCCATGACCAGGAGCTGGGTGCCATTTAAATAGGATCCTGCTGCCTGAGCCACCGCCTGGAAATTCAGTGGCACAGGCAGCAGGATATAAACAGAAAGTGGCCAGATGCAATCTGTGGGCCAGAGCAAAGTGTTACGGCAGGCCGGATCCGGCCCCCCCAGGGCTGCACCTTGCACCCAGCCCTAATATGAACAAACCATCACCAGCACTATCAATGACATTGTCCCACGGTTGAAAAGGTGGCGCTCAAAGCATTTTTGAGAGAGTCATTGTACAGCACTTTTCGGGTTCACACTGATTTATATTTGTTCTGCAGAATGAAATAACCATGCCATGGTATTTGCATATTGCTGCAAGCCCTCTCTCAGGCAAACTCCCACTACAGCCAATTTATTTCTGGAAATTCTTATTTTTCACAAAGTACTCTACTGGCTCATATCAGACTGAGGAGCATATGCCCATTCTGAAGCCACAATCCACTTCAAAATATTGAATAATATATTGATGAGCCCACCAGCAGCAGCATTGTTTCTGCAAGAATGCCACTGTGGAGAACTTTATTTTTAAAAACATGACGTGCTGCCCAATGAACAAAAACTAGATTTAAATACTGTGTATAAGTTTTACATGGGCACATTTTTAAAAAATGGAAAGCAACAAACATCAATGTAACATATTTATATTCATTAGATTTGGTGGTAGATTTAAATTCGTGAATTGTTCTAGAAATTAAAATAAACAAACACAATCGGAGTGTCAGATACATAAATGTTATTTCTGTATCACCTGCTGTTCCAAAGCTTTTACAACATATCAGATATAGAATAATACAAACTATTCATAGAAATCACTTTCTCAAATGGAACTTAGGAAGACTCCTCTTGTTTAAACGCGCGCAGCAATGATACATAACACAGCTTTATGATTTCTGAGAAACAATATCAATGTACTATTTCTTAATGTAGCTCACTAAAAAGAAGGTCTCTACAGCAGCAACAGTGGACCTCTGATGATTTTGTTTGTTTTGAGGAATCATTCAATGATTTAAATGCTTATCTGAATTTAGCCAAACTTTTTTGCTCTATCAATCAGTGTTGAGGTCTTAGAAGAAGAGTATTTTTTCCTGCGGTTTTTTTTATACTTGGCTCCACTAGAGCTGGGAATATATTCTAGATGAAACCAAGAAGTGCAAAAGGTGTGAGAAAAGCCAAAAGCAAAGGAAAAGTCACCAACTGCTTTAGCCCTCAGGAAAAGGTTCAGGTTGGATCTGAAATAAAACCTGCAATGCTAAGAGAGAAAGCCTAAGAATGCTAAATATATCTTTTTTCATAAATAGATTTAACACACTTCATTACACAACTACCTTCCTGGGAATTCATTAAAACATTTAACTACTAAACATAATATTGGCAGAGGCACTCTGCAAACCAAGCTTCTAATCAAATTAGCAATGAGCAGTCATTCAGACTGTGCAGTTGTTCAGCTACTTAGGCACTTAAATACTACTAAGCAGATTCAGTGAGCACACTAGCAGGTATAATCCATCACTAGGAGACTAGCAAAGGGATTTATCCCAATCAGTGGTGGGTGAGTTAGGTTACCTAAATAGCTTCTCGGAAAATACTTCCTATACCGATTCTAGTCTTTCAAGCATGGGGGGGGGGAAGGAGGGAGGAGGACTTTGACAAAGCATTCCTTCAAGGATGTGAAAATCATTCCTATAGTCTGTTCCTGGGAATTTTCTAATGAAAACAAGGAAGTGGCTCATTAACTTGATTTACTATTGACCCAAAGAGTAGTGGAAAGAATCTGTTTAAGGGAATGTTAGAAATACAAAAATTTATGTCAGTTGAATGGCTCTGGCCTGTTTTTGAAAACTGTGACCCAACATCAATAACAAATCTAGTAACAGAAAAGTTAAGTTCCACAGTACCCCTCCACAACCTCTTATGTAGTGACCAGAAGGCAACTTTTATGTAAGGATCACCCATTTTATTTCACTGTTGCGACTGATCAATTTCCATTTTGACTTTATCTCTCTGTAGCACACATATACAATCTCATTACTAGTAAGGGGTAGGTTGGGTTATATGGTTTCAGTTGTTAGGGTTTGTTTGGGTGTTTTTCCCTTAAAAAGCAACAAAAATTTAGATCAAGTGATGTTAACCCAGGCGTCCTGGTGACAATCTGCCTGCCTAAATTTCCCTTGAAGTTTCAATATTTTAACTCACTTGCTGTCCTAAATTGTTGAGAGCACTGGCATGCATTTCTAACCTGCAGCCATGTTCCACTGACAGTGGTTCCGGTATTTTAAGTATGAATGACTTTGAGGATCATATGAAATGAAAGGTGACATATCAATAGAGGAGAATATATTAGTGCTAGCAATTAAGAATCTAATGAAGCATAATATCCCAAATTTGTAATACCTGCAATGGATACACCATCTTTCATCATCACTGACAAAAGATATTCCTTATCACACAGCTAATGCTTCATATATGGGACACAAAACCTAGCAAGAATCAGATTCTGACCTCATCTGGATACCCACATCCATCTTGGATACTGATTAATCAGAAATGTATTTTACTCACAATTCTGCCCTCCTAATGAATAAAATTTCCTATGTACACAGAACAGTGCAGCATTTGGTACCCAATGGCTTCTAAATTCCCAGAAATAATTGTTCATGAATATATTCAAACTGCTGGGTAATAACAGGTACAGCTAAACTTAAACTAACACAGTACTGAACTCCACTTACTTTTAAATATGGATTACATAGCTATGATAAGTAATATATTAGAAATGTCATATTGTACCTTTAAGATGTGTTTATTGGAGGATTTGTCGTCAGGACTCACATACAAACGGATGAAGACAGAGTTACTGTACTGACCACGAAAAGTCGCAAGGGTCTGAAGCATGCTGAACTTCCTTTCTGACCATTGCCCTTCAGGCCCAATGTTAGATTCTAGCACAGGCCAACGGAACGGTGAATGCTTCAGTATACTTAACAGTGGTTTTGCATCAGCTTTTTCAATTTTATCTGAAATGACAAGATGTACCAATGCTTAAGCTCCAAACAACTGTAATTCAAAAGTAGATATAAAAACTCATGGCAATGAAATACAAATGTTTATAGACATTGATCAACTTCTAGGCAAGACTAAACAGAATAGCTCAGACCTAATGCCCTGGGTGGTACTTTGCTAAAAAGAGTATATGAAAATAAGAGTATATGACTTTATCACCATTTATCCAAATCAAGCATTGATAGCAAGGTGAAACGTGTTGTATTCAGCTGCACTGTGCTTGTCCTTGGAATGTAAACCTCTCTACACTCTAATTCTACAGTATGTTTACCATAGCCAATGGAAGAAATGTTTCAGATAAATAATAATGATGACCTGGGTTAGATTTAATATATAAAATGAGAGTCAGTTTAAGTACTATAGTGATGGGCTCTATTGAAAACCCTAAGACTGACAGAAATGGCATTTGTTGGTTAAGAAAATGGGGACACATTTACCTTTTAAATAATGATTGGGGGCTAACAGAGAATGAAATAACTTGCAGTGACAAAATCCAGCTAGAGACAGCTCAACAATTGGTACAAGAGTTTGATTGGGTCAGAGGAATACTTGATATTTGCAAACAAAACTAAGAGGTCGATGGGGAGTGGCCAAAGAGAATACAACAGAGTGTGCAACAGAAAAACTATGTAGCCAGTCAGCTTCACAGCATGTTGGAGCATCAGAAAAGAGATATTCCATGAGACAGGGGAGAAAACAACTTCTAAAAACATTCTGAGAGCATGACAGAGGAACATATTGAGGAACCAAGCCTACCCAGTTTGATTCCCCATCCCTGCAAGGTACTGACTCAAGAGATTCCAGAACTTGTAAAGATAAACTGGTAGCTGCATTTGGCACAGAAGAGCCACAAGTAAGACAGATGAAACGGTACCAACTCCTTGTGGAGACATTAGGATGGCATGAGATTTTTGGGAGGTGAAGGTTCTAGAGAGATGCACAATCAGATGTGATTCATGAAGCAACTGTGATTGCTGAAAGTGGAGATAGATACACAAGAGACTTCAACCTCTATAACTAGGCTAGGGCTAGGTGAAAACAGCAGCTGCACAGATGAGAGGAGAGAGTGAGATAAAAGCATGCAATGCTGCAGGCTGTCCCAGAGATACTTTGAGAGGGTTCTGCTGTCAGGGCTCACTTGAAGAGTCATTCATTAGGGGGTGTCCCTGATTTAGGGGAAATAGGAATGTGAAGAAGAATTTCAATATTCATTAGAAAAAAATGAAAAAGTTGCCAGAATGTTTATGGAAACAACCTGATGGAAGTAATTTGCTATGACCACAGGGAATAAGCAGGGGAAGGGCCGCAAAAAGCTGAGGGGCATAAAAATCTTGATCTCTTTCACTCTGCCATCCACTCTTTTGTCAAACGAGTCAGCTGAGTGTGGAGTGTCTCTAAGAATCACCTCATTGACCCTCTCCAAAATCTTCAGGCCAAAACAGTGCACACTAGTGTGATAATAGAGGAGAGACTTTGGTTAGTATTAAGGAGCTGGGGTAACGAATATTGATTACGGAGGCTGAAAACTGGCTATGCAATGTAGACTCAGGGGTTCAGAGAGAGATGCCTGAGGGCACAAGCTGAGTCAGTAAAATGTAGAGCCATCTGGTGCCTAATTGCCAGCTGAACAATTCCAGAGGATTCTATGAAACAATTTACTCAGTTAACCTGTCAGTAAATACCCCCACATCATTTTGAGAGTCCCATAAAGCAGAGTCACTTTTCACAGGAGAATTATGTAAATATGGTATTTTGTGCCTTTGCATATTCAAAGGCACATTGCCCACTGACAAAATAGGATATTGAGCTTGTAATTGGATCCATGTGAGTAGATCTATGTACCTGCATGTAGTCTCATTGAGTTCAGTACATACAAGTGTTCGCCTGCATGAGGACAACAGCAGAGTCTGGGCCTAAGCCTTTACTGCTTTCTTCTGTTAGCGTGCTAGAACCCATAGGGGTAATATATAGCTCACCCATGCCCCAAACTAAATTCAAGTTACTTACTTTCATTCATACATGATGAATAAAGGATCTTGGCCTTCTGTACAGCTTCACTGTCCCGTCTCTTGCTGATAGGTTTCTCTAGCAGAGCTGTGAAGCATACAAAGTAAAATTAGTTTCTCCCTGATCTCAGAAAATATAGGATTTGGCTTTTTTTTAAATTCATGTACTGATTGGAAGGTGTATCATCATGAGATGACTTCATGGTCTAAATACCACCCATCGCCTCAAAACAAGAGTACTACCTGGGTTAGCTAAAAACCTTACCCCTTCCAGGGTACTTAAACGGAGCTAGTCTAAAGAGCTGGAAGGGAAGAGAGCCATTGAGGAGGTGGAGACTTTCAGAGGATTTTAAAACCCAAGCTTTGAGTTTACAATATTTTTAAAATTGCCTCATGAAGGAAGTGAAAATCACTTCAGCACATAGCTCATCCTTCTTTTTAGGCAGGATGAGGGAAGATAAAGTTTGCAGGCAGCTGAACAAATCTTTTCATTTCAGGCCCAATGCTGTTCTTCTCCACTATTTGCTAGGGCCAGCCTTTCATTTTTGGCCATTGCCTTTCCCACTCATTTACCATACCGCTGTCCCCTTTGCTGTCTCTTATAGAAAGAGCAATGACAGTCCATTCCATGCCAGAGGAATGGGGCAGCTTTCTCTCTAGCCAGGTACAGTACAAGAGACTACAGGGATGAGTGCCCGTAATGGCCACTGTCTTCAGCAAGAGCTGAAAGAGGCTCTCCACACCTTGAAGGACCCGGCATAAAGAACATTACAAATACAACTCACATCCAGAAATCTACACACAGAAAAAAAATCAAAGACGACAACACAAATTCTCCTGCCAGCTACACTCATGCACAAAGGAGCCGAACACTGCAGGTGAAATTCGCTCTCAATATCTTGGCAACAGTTGGCTGTCATTAATTTTGAGTGGTTAAAATTGTCTTATTATGACTGAATAAATATTAAAAGTAACAGAGCAACAACTAATTTGTTTGGTTGGTTTCTAAAAAAAGTTTTTAACGTGACAATGATGTTTCAGTTTCTGATAAAAATCTCCCCCAGTCTACAGCAAGGCACAGTTCCTGATAGATTTGATTTTAAATCTCAATCTTATCACTATTTCTGAGCTTCAGAAACACATCATAACCGTCATCAACATATTTCTACCAAAAGGCTCGTGAGCAAAGTCATCAGTGCAAGTAGCTCAATCCCTTTGTTTTTTTTAAAGAGGATTATTAGATCTGTCCATACTTTAAAATATGGAATTTTAAAGGATACTATGATTCAGATCTCAGTAAAACTGAAAATGACAAATAGCCTCCTAATAAAGACAATGCAATCATTTCTGTCATGAAAATTGGAAGCTAACGACATTGGATAGCTAAAGCCCAGAAGAGGGGATGGTGACAAGATAAAATAAAATAAAACCAACTATAGAACTGAACTAACATAAAATCCTACTAAAATTAGAACTGGTACCTTCCATTGAATCCCTTTTTTTTTTGCTTGCTTCAGGAAGATGTTAAACTCATTATATTACTGCAAAGAATGTGTATAAGACATTTCCAATTTGCTTAGAAAAAAATGAAGTTTTTCTGCCAAGAACATTTTGTGTTTTGACCAAGGAACACAGAAAGCCAACTGTAAAACATGGGAATCTTAACAAGATGGTCAAATCCTGCATTTGGAACCTCAAATTGGCTCTTTGGGATATAAATGTTCTCTACAACAGACATGTCACTGAGCCCCTAAGTTCAATTTTTGGATCCAAACTGCCCCACAGCTTGATCGGGTTCCAATCCAGTGTTCTGGTTTGGGCCTCCCTCTGCTTCTATATCCTGAGGTGCTAATGCATAAAGTTTGGACATCCCCCTCCTATTTAAACTGACGTGCAAAAACTGTTTCAGTACTAGAATTGTCTTTGCTACCACATATTTGAGGAATAGTGAGGAAAAAGAAGACGGAATGGGTATCTTTGTATCTCTATGCACGTATACACACATTATAGGAGGAGCTGATAGCAACCTATTTAGTCGGCCACTTTCCCATAGGAAGGATTCTGGCAACCATTCCTGTGAGAAACTTTCACTCCATTGCTTGCAGCAGGCTTTTGACACTGGGCAGGTGGAATGTGCCCAAGAATGGGTTTCATTGTCTCAAGAAATTCTGTTCATTTTTTGCTGAGGTATAAATAATTTAAAATTCCCATTTCTCTTTTCTTGCTTATCTTCCTCAGGAAGATGTTGGCAGACTGCCAAAATAATAACTGCACACAAAAATTCTAAAGCTGGCTCTAGTCACCACCAAAGCAGCAGCAACAGGAATATCTGGGGAATGCCAGAGCAGCTGTAGTGGGGAGAGTAGGGGAAAGATAGGCAAGGCTCCCCCTGTTTCAAGAACTGGCACATGGGTCCAGTGGTCCCCTGCCCTCTTCTAAGAGTACCAATATGGAGCAGGATTTCCTCACCCTGCATTACAACCCCCTCCCTCAGGCACAACATCTGTCCCCTAGCAACCATCCCCCCATCCTTCTGAGGAGATGCCCTTGTAGCTCCTTTTACTTCCAAACGTGGGAGATAGGAAGCAAAACAGAGAAACTGCACACAAGATCAACCACCATCAAAACCCACCACATAGTCCCTTCCACTCTCCGCACTACCACATGGGTAGGAACTATACCAATTCTTTAGTAGGGAGCTAAAGAAAGAGGGAAGAGAAATATGCCAGACTGGGATCCCCCTTCAGAACCCAGCACCTGCATCCAATTGTCCATCCACCTGACCTCTGGGATAACAGTTTTCTGCTGCTTATAGTCCCTGTAGTTAGTTCTGACAACCCAGTGATAGCAATTTGTACTGCAGTTCACAGGCAAATATCAGATGATGATGAGAGAGGGATAGTTACAGATCATCGATTTTTTTCCTTTTAAAATAAAATTATAAAATTACATTTAAAGCTATTTAGTTTTCAGTCTTGAGCACTCAAAAGTTAGGAAGTATTAGATTTTCACTTCCCTATGCAACTTTTATTCCAGACCCCTTGGGCATATGCATTATGATACAGACTTTAATTATACTGTTGTCTATTACTTTTTTCACAAGATGCTTTCTTCATTCTGCCTAGAGGAAGCAGAAAGGCATGGAATTAAGGCTTTACAAGCAATCGTAAACCTGGCATTTCCTATCTGTCAAGTGCTTGACTTTACAACATAAATAATGTTTGTTTAATTCAGATTTTTTAAATATTACATGTGTGCGTGTTTTGTCTTCTTATTTCAGTGTGTGAAAACATAGGTTCCTTTTAACCCTAAAGAGAGTGGTAGCCCTCCAATGTCTCTCTCAAAAAATAATAATAAACTTATTTTATGAAAGTACACCTAATTTTAAAATAAGTTTATTATTATTTTTTAAAAGAGACAGCCCAGTTCAAAGAATGTGCCATCTGAAGCTGCTGAGATGCAAGTACCATTTTGTATTGTCTCCTGGTCTTTGGGTCGCCTTCCTCATCTCTGAGGGTATGACTACACTACCCCGCTAGTTCGAACTAGCGGGGTAATGTATGCATACTGAACTTGCTAATGAAGCCCGTCCACATTAACTAGCGCGTCCACATTAAGTGGACCCTGAAGCGGGGTTAAGGATGGCCGGAAGCAGTGCCGGCAGGGCATCAGAGGAGGACTTAGAGCGTGGAGATGCTGTCTCAGGCTAGCCGAGGGCTGTGCTTAAAGGGTCCCGACCCCCACCCCTGACAGACAGTTCTAAGGGGTGCCCCGCTTGCAAAGCAGTCCTGGCTTGGAGTGCCTTGAGTGCCCACACTGGGCACATCACAGCACTCGGCCATCAGACTGGCTGCACTTGCCGCAGGCTGCCATCTGGGGAGAGGGGGCAATTGGAGGGCTGCAGGAGAGCTTCCACCCCCAGAAGCCCGCAGAGCCAGCCCAGTCCTCCCCATCGGGGGCTCGTACCCCATTCCTCCCTCACCTCCTTCCACTTACCCTTCCCTAGCCCCTCTTCTTGATGTACAAAATAAAGATAACGTGTCTTCCAAAATGGAATCTGTCTTTATTGAACAAAACTGGGGGAGACTGGGAAAAGGAGGTGGGAGAGGGGAAGAGAGAGGCTGGGAGAGGGGAGGGCAACTAAAATGATCAGGGGTTGGGAACAGGTCCCATATGAAGAGAGGCTAAAGAGACTGGGACTTTTCAGCTTAGAAAAGAGGAGACGGAGGGGGGACAGGATAGAGATCTCTAAAAGCAGGAGTTGGGTGGAGAGGGTGCATACAGAAAAGTTCTTCATTAGATCCCATAAAAAGGGACTAGAGGACACCAAAGGAAAGGAATGGGTAGCAGGCTTCAAACTAGTAACAGAAAGTTGTTCTTCACAAAGCAAAGAGTCAACCTGTGGAACTCCTTGCTGCAGGAGGCTGTGAAGGCTACAACTAGAACAGAGTTTAAAGGGAAGTGAGATCAAGTCATGGAGGCTGGGTCCATGGAGTGGTATTAGCCAGGGGGTAGGAGTGGTGTCCCTGCCCAAGGTTTGTGGAAGGCTGGAGAAGGATGGCACGAGACAAATGGCTTGGTCACTGTCTTAGGTCCATCCCCTCCAGGGTCCCTAGGGTTGGCCACTGTCGGCAGACAGGCTACTGGGCTAGATGGACCTTTGGTCTGACCCAGGACGGCCATTGTAAGCTCAGGGCTCAGGGTCGGGGGTCTCAGTGGACATCCTTGATTCTCTTGCACACCTGCTCCTGGGTGGCCAGCCTGGCAGCTCTCCTGCCCTAGACGG